ATCAGCAGCGCGGGCGACCTCGTCACAAGACGGCGGCTTGAAAAGGTTGGTGTGCGGTGCACCCTTCAAGTCCAGCCCGACTTTCACCTCAAGGAGTTGGAGGCCAAACACCGCAAACAGCAACATGGGGAAGCAGAGGCCAACAACTAAGGCCATCCGTTTTACGTGCCGTGCCATCCTTACTGCGTGCCTGTGGGAGGTAAAGCGGGGGTGGGGGCAGGGAGGGGTTCGGTGCGGCAGCGGGGTGCGGGCAGGGGCGTGTTGCCCAGCCAGAACTGGCAGAAGGAAGCATCAAAGAAAAATGCACAGCACGCGCACCGTCGTGACGCTGAGGACCGCGGCAATGCCACTCACCCACCCACACACACACACAAATCTCCGCAGGACGACGACAGCGGCAGTCCACCGCGCAGCAACTGCCACCCAGCTGCCGAAGACAACTTTGCCGTTCAACGGCTGCAGTGCAACCCAACAGCACACGTACCGCAGCAGGTAGCAGGTAGCGGCCGCCGCACACTTCGCGGCGTCATCAGCAGGTCAAGTTCCAGCAGCTGTGCCTCACGCGACATCACTGGCCACCGCCGTGCGGACGCACAGCAGCCACCGCGCCCGTGACGGCTCACCGCACCGCGGCTCCAGGCCAACGGCATACACCCTACGCAACGCACTGCCAGCAACGCCGCGGAGGCGGCAGGTGGAGAGAAGCTGCAAACACCACGGCGACAGAGGCAGCAGAAAAAAAGAACACAGGCAAGCAACGGATAATCAGTGCGCACGCCGTGGAGCGGCACAAACCAACCCCTGTTGGCAGAAAAATAAAATTAAAATGTTTCGAAATTATATGCGGCGGCAGTTAAGCCAGCGCTACCTAGACAAAGAAAAAGCACCCCACAGTAAGCGAGGTTCACTCAGAGGCGGAGTTTACTGAATATGCACATGGGTGTCTGCTGCGTCACCACAACTGGCACCCTACCGTAGATAACTACTCTACACACATAAAAAAAAGTCAAAAAAAAATAAATTCGATACTATTAACAATCAAAAACAAACCCTCCCCTCATGCGCCGGTATTTCTTGGGAGAAGGGGAAATATCCTTCCCAAAGCGGCGCATCAACACTTCATACTCGCTCTCCCAAAGGTGGTGCACAACAACGGAAAGACGGGAGACGCGTCGAACCTGAAACCCTCTGTGGACGTCATGAAAGCGGCACGACTTCTCCTTCACGAACAGCAAGCCCTTGTAGTGTACCTCGTGCAGCACGCGACCCACCATCGCATCCTCGTGGTTCAAGTTTAGGCTGATGAACTCCGGCTCCCTCTCGCTGCTGTACGGCAGACGCACCAGCCGCTGCAGCGGCTTGTAGGAGACAAACTGCTGCGCAACATCCCTCGACAGCGTCACACAGATACCGGCCGAAAACCTGAAGCGAACACCGGGTTTGTAAATTCCAAGGAGGCCCCAGTAAATACCGCGGAGTGGCAGTGTGCGCAGGTCGGCAAGGAACTGCGGCACGCGAAGAAACATGTCGTCGTCTCCCTTCGCAAGGTACGGGACGGTGGGAAACTGACGCAAAGCGAAATCATACCAAAAGTACGTCTTGCGGCTCATGCCAATCTCAGCCTCCAAACCCCAAAAGCCATTGCCGGCGACGGTCTTGTTCGTCGTCACCCGGCCATCATCAATAGAGGGCGTAAGAACGTCGTTCCACCGCGCCGCCTCCTCCAGCAGCGCGGCAGAGTAGTTGTTGTCGTGTGCCGGGTGGCGCCCAAGGACGTACAGCACTAGCATCGCACCGGTGAACTCATTCGCCCGCGTCGCCACACCGGGGAAGCGCCAGCACGTCGACCGCTGCAGGTTGCGTCGCCGCCGCCTTGATGCGTTATCCACCGAAATAATGCCAAACACAATGAGAAAGTTCTGCCTCTTCCATGCGTCCACGACACCGCGAGGAACATATTGCAGCGCCTCGGCATCAGCAGCGCGGGCGGCCTCGTCACAAGACGGCGGCTTGAAAAGGTTGGTGTGCGGTGCACCCTTCAAGTCCAGCACGACTTTCACCTCAAGGAGTTGGAGGCCAAACACCGCAAACAGCAGCATGGGGAAGCAGAGGCCAACAACTAAGGCCATCCGTTTTACGTGCCGTGCCATCCTTACTGCGTGCCTGTGGGAGGTAAAGCGGGGGTGGGGACAGGGCTGCAAAGGTTATCATAATAAGCTAAAACTGTGGTGCAGATCGGTATTATTTTGTGGTATTGTAAAGAAAAAAAAGTATTTTTGTCTTCCTTTTGTGAAGTCAGGGAGGAATATTCCTCTCTTATTATTTGTTAGTGTGACGGAGTCCGTTGCAGTGGCACGCCTTGACCCGTTTCAGCGCCCTTGTTAATGGCCGCTGTTTACGCAAACGCAACAATGCAGACATTCTCTTCGGTGATGTCCCTTTGCGTGTACTGGCACAGATAGGCGGCACGGTAGCCACTTTGTTTCAAGTACTGTACTCGTAGGGCATCAATGACGCGCTTGCAACAGACACCCGTGATGCGGCTTTCCTCGTCCACAAATGCCCCACTGACGGCCCAGGAAGACATAGAAGCAATTGCCGCAAACTCTGCGGCGGAAAGGGTGTCCTGCGTTCCGGGCAAACGCAAGACCGCTTGGCCGTCGTTGTCCGTGGCTCCCAGGGAATTGAGGTGCTGCAACTCACAGCGGTGGTGGCAGCAGGTGGCAAGGACAACGACACTCACGCACAGGCGACCTTCCGTGCGAAGGTTGGGCGCTGTGATGCATGCGAGGGCAAAGTCTGTGCAGGCGCCACAAAGATGCTTGCCCATAGCCACCCAGTGTTCTGCCGGAATCAGCGCTTCAGGGCGGAGGCCTAAAGAAGTGCCTCCGCCGGCGTGTTCGCCGTCTCTCGCCCGTTTGCGAACGGAGGGGTCACGCAGCGCGGCGGCCAAGTCGAGGTCCTTAATGTCGAGACGCAGTCGAGTGAGGGGAAGACGGGTGCGACAAACACGTGCATCGCCTTTGCGGCGAAAGTTGTCTACATCGACCACAACAAGGAGAGGCTCACTGGACCCATCCGCTGCCACGGAGCCTTGCTTCTCGACCTTACTCCCTGGAAGAGCAAAGGCACGGGAGAGCACGGCATCCTGCAGCGCGACTGCGAGCCCACCCTTTCCCGCGCCCAATTCTATAAACCCCGCCACCGCCACGTCGGCGTCGCCTGCTAGCTCCTGCGCTTTTGCAAAGCCCGCAATCGCCCTCTGCAAGCAATGCAGCAGGGCGCGGTGCTGCGGGCCGTGCTTGGCGGACGCTTTTCGCACCGATGTGGGAGTTTCCTCGCCCTCGCTGGATACCTCCTCCGCCAGCAACACCGTTTGCGGCTGCACCACGGCGAAATAACAGCGACGCACGCGCGCAATGAGCTGGCGCAGGGTGTCGGCGTCCAAGTCATGGTGCGTCCGTCGCTCGTGTTGCGTGTCCGCCGCCGCGCAATACACCGCTCCGCGCAGGGCGTGGGCATTCTCTCTGTAGTAAGGCAACCGCGTGACGACAAACCGCAAGTCCGGGCACACCTTCACGTGGTACTGCAGCCGCGACTCGTACACGGTGTGGTTGGGGTTGATGGGGCACGGCACCCGCCGCGGTCGCTCGGCCGCATCCGCCGCCGCGCCGCCGCCCCCGCCCTGCTGGGCCGCAGACGGCGTGAGTGTGTCGTGTGTGTGGCAGAAGCGGCTACCCTCGCGCTTCTCTGCCCGGCAGAAGCGTCGCTTCCGCGGGAGGTAGTGGTCGCAGAGGCCCTCGTCGGGGTTTGCCCGCGCCGTTGACGCAACTCCCCCGTGCGGCATGCGTCCAGCCTCCCGCCAGTGCAACAGGCAAAAACAAAAAGGGGGCGGGAGCCGGGAGCCCTCTGCTTCTTCCCCAGTCAATTGCACAGCGGAAAGGGAGGAAGACGGCAGGAGGAGAAAAGCAAACACACGTTCACCAAAAATAGTAGTAATAATAAAACAAAAAGCAACACATTTTGCAAAGGGCTGCAATCCATACGAACTGAGAGGGGAACTCACGCATATACATTACTATATATATATACGAATATGAATATATATATATAAATATGCATGTATGTGTGTGGACGTGGGCGGGGAAATATAAAAACGACCACAAAACGTTTCATTTCTTTACATGCGCCGGGGCCCAAAAAAAGGGCGTGCGTGGGCGGCTGCTGCGCTTGTGTGGCGCTACATCAAATGTGCCGCCTCCCCCCCAGCAGCAACTTAGCGAACTGCCGCAGGGCAATAATGACAGCAGGAAGTCGAGTGGGCGGCACAAAAATGCGGTTTTCAGAAGAAAAACAAAAACAAAACGAAAAAAAAACGAATTAAGGCGCTCCACCAAATAAAACGTAATCGTAAAGAAGGCACCCCCCACGCCAAAGACGGAAGAGACGGGAAAACAGCTGGGCACACAAACAACAATACGATAAAAAAGAAAAGATAACCATCAAAAACAAAAACAAAAAAAAACAATTTTTTTTCCTTGTGGTTTTTGTGGCTCTTTTTTTTTATCGCTTCTCAGGGGGGCGGGACGAGAAAATGTATGAGACGACGCCGTGTCACTAATGCTTGGAGAGAGAAAGCAGCCGTGCACGCCTCACGCCTCCGGTGGCGCCTGAATCAAACCGACTGGCGGCGCGGGGAGCTCCCAGGGTTTCCAGAAGGGGTCTGGCACAATGGGAATCCGGCACGTGGGCGGTGGGAAACGCATGTAGGCCGGCTTATGGCGCTGGCTGCAGCGGATGCGTTCCACCTCACTCCAGGCGGGTGGCGGCGACACGGTCGTGACGATCCCCCAGGCGTAGATGTAGCGCTGGCGAGCCTTTGGCTTCATCACGTCGTGGACGAGCTGCAGCATGGTCATTGATTCCTCCACCTGTGCCACGCGCTCCAGGTTCTCCTCCATGAAGAGGTGCAGCTGAGAGACTTCGGCAAACTCCTCCCACTCCAGCTCCTCTCGTTGCATGCACTCCTCGTAGAGGAACTGCCCGCGCCTTCTGTCCTGTGAAAATTTATCCATCCCTGCAACGGATCCGCGCTGCTGGCCCCCGTTCTTCCAGTCCTCCTGCTCCTCCTCCTCCTCCTCGTCCCCATTCGCGGTCACCGCGCCCGTTGTGTGCTTCTGCAGCATCACCAACGTGGCCTTGTCAAAATTCGCCTTGGTTTTGAGTGCAGAGAGACCGCGGAACCATTGATTCTGCAGAACTTGGCGCGCGTACACTTCTCCTTCCTCCAGCGGCGCGAGAAGCTGGGAAAGGCCCTCGACAGAGACGTAGGACCCAACACTCGACACCACCGCCTCCGCTTGTGAGAGATCCACACTGTCCGACGCCGTCTTAAGGTCGTTGGACGACATTGATCGCTTGGGGGTATATCCTGCGGCGGGAAAGCCAAAACAGGAGGGGAAGAGGTATATATAGAGAGAGACAGAGAGAGAGAGAGAGAGAGAGAGAGACGGGGCGTGGTGTAGAAAAACAGGCGACGAGTGACACGCAGCCACAGAAGCCTATGGGACAGAGTGAAACAAAAACAACAACACAAGAGGGGATGGATGACGGTAACGTTACGAAAAACCAAATAAAATTATTAGCAGCGTCGCCCGCAGTGTATCCCACACCCCCGAGAAAGGGAAACAGTATTTGAGGTCGGCTTGTAATGACCCCTTCTGGGGGCAGGGCAATTTTTTGCTCTTTTCGGTGGCTTCACGTTAGTCTCCTGCGGCTGCAGAAATGATCAGGGCGAGTGGGGAGCTGCCGCTGCGCCGTGGTGACGAGCAGGGGGTGCCCGGTGTGTCAGACGGGACCGCGGCATCCATCGCCGGGGAGGGGAGCGGCGTTCGCCTCCGACGTCGCACGTGTGTGGGTCTGCCCGGCAGCTTCGCAGCACGCGTGCAGCTGCAGAGAGACGCCGCCGCTCGCCAGGAGACGAGCCGGTGTATTCGTTGCGTTTTCCTCTCCGCCGCAAAGAGTCAACGGGGGGAC